CGAGAGGAAGCACGAACTGATATAGTCGGTTATCATTGCAAGTAACTCACTGTGCTGAAACGCGAATCACAATAATGTACTTATTGCTGCACATGTTATTTGTATAGACCAGAATACAAACTTTAAAATTTCAATGATTTATCTGGCATTATATTTTATACTATTTACAATTTATTTATCGATATTGTCAGCAAATCTTGCCATACCGAGACTGATGATTCGATGATAGTAAATAATGAAGTACATACAAATAATATGAAAGTGGTCGTGACCTAATTTAAGGCACTATTTCAATATTTTCCTGGAATGATTGAGAAGACCCACGAAAATCCTCTCTGAGATTAGTCTGTGTCCCGAGTGACATTTCAACCAGGCAACTCTCCAGCACAGGTCTAGCGATGCCACCTGAAACTACTCTCTCTTTAAATTTTAATGGAATATTCACCGCTAAATACAATGACACGTATCCATTTTGTAAAAACTTCCACCAGAACGGACAAGCTCTTCCGTCGACTTACCAATAATACTTGTGTCATATTACCACGGCAGTTGATGAAGCATCGTGCACAAAAGTAGATAGCAGCATGTTGATTTCTACGTACGTAACGTGTCCAGTGGTACCAACTAAGTTTCACTGGTGTACTAATACTACTGCATTATTCGTGAGCTAAAGTTTTTACGAATAACTATGTAACAAGAGCGGGATGCGAACTGAGTTTTTAATTTTGAAACTGTCATTGAATTGCAAATAATATTCACTGCTTTGTACCCAGGTACGAAATTTTCTTGCAATGATACAGCTTGCAGTTCACAATTACAGCTTATCCGGTTTCATGCATGTTTACACACGAACTGAAACTCAACCTGTGGCACTTGAAATTACGTGAATGCACATTCACTCAGGTAAGTTTAGAAACCTCTTTGTCAGGTTTTTTTGCAGGAGAGTTAATTTTAAATCATAAAATACTGTGTCCGAACCTGAAGCCAAGTGATAATCATGTCCAGCGAAGGAACAACAAATGTAAGTATCTGTATGCGGTAGATGTTTTACACTCTTGCCCCTGTGTTTGTAATATAAATAGGCTTATGGGTAGAAAGATAATGTAATACTATTTATATGCGTTTGGGCCGCTAGAAGCCAGACTGTTATTTGCATTACAATATCAAACAAATTATGTGGCCTGTAGTCCGCAAGCGAACTATACCGACCGAGCGACCGCCGCTTGTCGGCGAAGCTAGTGCCAACTTTCTGCGGATAGAGGGTGTCGCGTGGTCAGCGCAACGCTTCCACATGGCCGTTAATTTCGGTTTTCTAGGCCGGAGCCGCTATTTCCTTGAAATAGCTCCTTGGTTATCCTCACGAGGCTGAGTGGACTCCGTTCCAGACCCTCTAATTTTCAGAAAATCTCGTAGCGCCGGGAATCGAACGTGGTACCTCTGCATCTGTATTCAGGAACTCTGACCACTAGACCACAGATGCGTGCAATTTTCTTTGGGTAAGACTGGTCTCCATAAATTAGTGAAATGTAACAGAAGTCGTTGGAGCCTATATCAGTAAGATGCAATTTTGGGTTTGCTTTTGTAGCTAAACAAATTTATATATATGAGGCAGACACAGACGACGAATATGCCCTTACATACCGAATGTGAGTAAAATGTAGAAAGTCGTCTTCTGGGATCTGGCGCCGTGTATTCTTGGTTTTAACCGACGTTTCGGATGAACGTATCTCCTCCATCTTCAGGGCACGTGAATCGCGATGCGAATACAGAGAGCAGTAGCTGCAATGATTCTGGAGTGAAAAGGGCTAGTTTATATAGGAAGTAGGAAGGGGGGGGTCTGGGAGAGGGGACCAATGGGAACGGTGAACAGCGATTAAGGCCAAATATGGTCCTGGTGGTGAAAGGGGGGGGGAACCGGCCAGTGAATCCAGGCAACTTGGAGGTCAATGGCACAGAGGTTGCGGTTAGACAAGAAGAACCGGTTGGCTGGGGACAGGCTATTGACGTCAATGACATGAACTGGGGACAGGCTACTGACGTCAATGACATGAAGAACTGGGGTGACTTGGTGGAATTCTCTTGAGGGGAGAGATGAGAGGTTTCCATGACTTGTTGAGACAGAACCCTGTTTCCTTGTTCATGGTGTTCGGATGGAGCTCGATCTCAGTGGCCTCCATGATGATGCGATCCAGGTAACGGCTCTTACAGGTGAGTACGCTGGTTTTGTGAAACTGGATACGGTGGTCTAGCTCATTGCTGTGTTCAGCTACGGCTGACTTGTCTGGATGTTCCAGGCGTAAATGCCGTTGATGTTCTTTCAACCTGGTGTCCACAGAACGGCCCGTTTGCCCAATGTAGACCTTGCTGCACTCGCATGCGATTCTGTAAATTCCCGGTGTCCTCAGTCCCGGGTGATCCTTGACAGGCCGGAGGAAATTAAATATTTTCTTAGGGGGCAGGCCAACTGATTTGATGTTGTATCGGGACAGCACTCTGCTGATCCTGTTGAATATAGTCCCGACAAAGGGCAAGAAGGTGACAGAGTCTCTGCGGTCATCATGTTGATTGTAGTTGGGATGGCAGTTGAGGGCCCTGTGGATCTGCCAGTCGTTATAACCTTTCCGTCTGAAGACGTCCTTCAGGAACTCCAATTCCGCACGCAAGCTGTCTTGATCGCACAGAGCTCTGGCCCTTTATACCAGTGTGGAAAGAGCTGACTGTTTACTGGAAGGGTGATGATGGGACCTGGCATTGAGATAGAGGTCGGTGTGTGTGTGGGTTTGCGGTATACTGTATGGCCTAGAGAGCCGTCAGGTCTCCTGTAAATATCTATGTCTAGGAAGGGAAGGTGGCCTTCACTTTCGGTTTCCATGGTGAACTGAATGCATGGGTTGATACTGTTTAAGTGGTTCAGGAAACCCTTCAACTTGTCAGGTCCGTGGGGCCAGATGACAAAGGTGTCGTTCACATATCGAAACCCCCCCTTCGCCCCCCTGACCATATATGGCCTTTATCGCTCTTCACTTTTCCCCTTGGTCCCCTCTCCCTAACCACCTCCCCCTGCCTATTTCATATATAAAGTAGCGCTTTTCACTTCCTAATCATTACAGCTACTGCTCTCTGTATTCGCAAAGCAATTCACCTGCCCTGAAGATGGAGGCGATACGTTCCTCCGAAACGTCGGCTGAAACAAAGAATACACGGCGCCAGATCCCAGAAGACGACTTTCTTCATAGTCATCGCCGTGAAGACCTCAAGACTTACACGTGAGTAAAATGTGTTTAAATTTTTCAGCTTTTTTCAAGAAAATTTACATTTTACTTTTGGTCCGCCAGAGGGCTGACCATTACATTCCACTCAGTTTGACGTAATTACTTTATTAGTCAAAATCACACTGCATTTTCCAATTAGGGGAAATTAAAATTATGTGGTGTACATTTATATACGTGTAGCGGGTGTAATTATTTTACAGCATTTAGACGTGATTTATATGTTTTTAGAATATTCGAGCACAGGTATTGTCTATTTATATGATTTTCCTTAAGATAAATTATTTGACATCTATGAGGGTGGTGTAATGAAACCGAAACAGGTTAGGTAACAAATGCTGAAAAACTAATAAAGTAACCAAGTCAAACTCTGTCATTTATTACACGTGTTGCTTTAGACGGTCTAATTGCATATTTTGAAGCCTAATGGGGAAAAGTTTTCTTTTCTCACGTTGTTGCCTATCGTTGCACTCGTTCCAGAATTACAGCTTAACTTTCGAAAGGGAATAGACATTGCTATGCCACTTCCCGCTAGATGGCCTGATATACCAGGGCCGTTTCTGAGCAACGGCTCGGTAAACACGTTCCCATTGCTAGGCAGCAGGTTCTTAATAAACAACGGCTCGACTAGAATAATGGAAGAACTGTGTTTTCTGCGTGGTCCGTGCCGAGGTATTATAAGTAAGGGACAAGATTAGAGCTTAGGCAGTTCTGTGTGGGAACCTGAGAAGAGAGAACATGAGCCTGATGCAAACGAATAGCCAATGTTGGAGCCGTTACCAGGAAACGTCTAGTAACAGACTGAGAACCGTAGACTGTGTGCTCTAGTAAACTACAGTTATTTGTAGTTACGACCTGTAAGTTGTCAATTAATCTATTCTATCCAGACTCCTTCTATAGGCATACACATACTACGGGACAATATATTCAAAACAATTTTAAGTACTCGAATATAATATGTTTTATATATAGATAATGAAGTAAATAATGTCATTGCATAAAAGTACATGGAACAAAAGAAGGATTTCTAGCAAAGATATTGGCGACCGGAGAAATAAAGCCCAGGGAATACAAAAAATTAGGATAAATAAGTATAGACCGTTTCATAAATACAATGTCACACCGCATGTCATCCGCCGTAACGCTGATCTTGAATATTCATATCACGCAAAATTCATTAAATGTAAGGGAATGGACTATGGGATACTCTCGTGCCGTAAACTTTAGAATCAAGGATTAAATTCACTTCACTGTCCATCCATCCATCCATCGATCCATCCATCCATCCATCCATCCATCTATACATAAAATAACATTTATTTACATATTGTGTTGTAAGAATTGTTATTGTTAACTACATATTGTTAAATAAATAAATCTATCTATCTATCTATCTATCTCTGCCTGCCTGTCTATCTATTTATAGCTTTACAACCTTTGTGGATATTGGCAGCTTTTTCAGTTTCTGAACCCTATACGATGTGGGTAGGAATTCCTGGGAGGAGTATCAGCCCGTCGCAATCCTCCTACCTACACCAGAACAACACAAACACAGAAAAAGCGCACATTATACAGATATCTATGTCTCGTATGAGATTGGAACCCACGATCCCAGTATTTCATCGGGGGAAGACGGTTCATGCCTCAGATCTCGCGGCCACTGTGATCGGCATAAATTTACTTATACTAGTCAAAAATACATTTCTATGTAATCTTAATATGCATACTTACATTGAGGAAACATTTACGAAGTCATGTCTTTCCTTCCAGTAACTCAAGACCTGATACCCGATGCGAGCGAGCCTCTGAACTCCTGACCAGTCCGATTCAATCCAGCACGCTCTTCCGTCGTTCAGTTCCTTCAGTCCTGCTTAGCGAGGGGATGGGGGAAATAAATGCTGCGTTGTCAATTCTTCTCAGCCCTTCCATGTTTTTCTCTTCTTTTATCGACTCGTAGCATTGGCTAAATTTGAAACCTGTCATCAAAGGGGCCCATTCGTTCAGAAAACTAATTCGGCTGTCAAGTTAAAATTCGTTATCTTCTATATTATTCGACGGATTTCTACTAATTTTTGTATTAGCGTACATTACTACTTGTCCGGCGATATTCTTTTAATTCATGTAAGACAACTGC